AACCTTCTTCCTAACAGATATTCTGTAGATTTGCACATAAAAGCACAACGATAATAAAAACATCACATTTTTAAACAGTGTTTGAGCTCAGGTTTCCGTGTCCTTAATTTCATCCCATCCATTTCAGTTATTCAGGTTGGGACAGATTGGTTTCAGTCTTCTCCTTTTTGGCATATACTTTCCAGCACTCTGGAGAAATTTATACTCCCAGACACAACCATTTAGTTCAATTACAATGATTACATCAGTGCAAGTGAAACACAGTACAAAGTAACTGCAATGAAGTAAATTTATATAGGTATAATTAGGAGCAGAATTAGATCTTTACTTCATCCAATTAGAGAAGAATTTAAAGGCATTTACATGCTTTAGGGACACAAAAATCCATCAGCTTTAAGAGACTAGTGCTAAAATGCACATGCTTTCAGAATTACCATCCTCAGTCTTTCCTTCTTGTAACCTGCTACTATATTTAGTCTTCTCTGAGTTCTATCTATATGCAGCAAGACACCAGCTCATCCTGCAGGCCCTGAGCAGCGAGCCATTCTAGTGATTTCTATGTCACTGACCACCAATTCCAGTCAATATTCAGGAGAGTTGGTATCAAAGCTTTTCCAGCAAGTGATACTGCTCACCCCTAGCAATTTGGCTTAAGTTATACAAAATCTCTATCCTTCTCCGATGTATCATCAACCTGATTTTTTTTTTTTTTTAAACATAAGAGACAGGTGGGTAAAACTCCATTACCTTGGTCTGCTTCTTCTCCGTAGCGTACACTATAGAGGTACAACAGACTTCGGCAAGTTTCCGACCCTGTCCATAGAAAGACCAGCAGCAGATTTCATCCCCTATAACATCCTTAATGAAAAGAACTCTGCCATTGAATCGGAGAGAGAGTTTGTCAAACAGCTCTATGTTCTTCAGCAAGTTGTCATCTGAGTTACTGAAACACAGCAACAAAAGAAGGGATATGGTTTTTGCGGTTTTTCAACTGGCCATCTCGACAGAAATTATATGCCTGTTCCACCAGTTTTAAGCATTGATCTAACTGCAGCATACAAATAAGTAGTGACTCACTGCCATGTGCTGCCAAGAAAAGAGAGGGTAATAGCCAATTTCAGATACAAACAAGATGCTCTGATTCCCATGAGCAAACACACCAGCCTTTAGAGGTCAAGTTATATAATTAATAACGACAGCACAATTTCCCAAATCATTGCATCAACTATCCACAACTACCTCTTGACTGACACTCAAGACGATTACATCACACGCTAACTGCAGTTCTCTCGAGCCTAGTAACAGCAAAAGTCCAGAAAGTCAATGCATGTTAGAAGGCCAGCTAAAAAAGCAGCTGTTCTGCATGTAACACCAGTGATACCACACACAAATTTCTAGGGCAACTACATTATTTAGGAAACTAAGGTTTATTGATGCGATGTAGAATCTTGATTACTTTTCAAAGCAATATCTAGATGTTCTAGAGGAATAAAAAGCATACACTCTATTACAGCTTTAAAATCAAGAAAAGCTATCAGAAAGCTGTTCTTAAAATTTAAAATATTTTACATAAGTAACAACATCACGGCCAATCCATGTCCAGCGATTTGATTAAGTAACAAAAAAACCAAACCCCAAACCTAAAAGCCTTACTCCTCTGACATTAGGCTGAACCCAGCAGCCGTATCGAAAAAAAGTACTCTGTGCCTCTTTGTCACTTTATAGGTGCCTGGGACATTACATGAGGATACCTGGGAATTGGTGAACATGCTATTGCCTAGACCACAAAGCCAGCCTTGCTAGCTTTAACAGTAAAATTCCTTACTCTTTGGACCAGAAGCCCAAGGTTCACACCTTGCTGCCAACAGTCCTGCCCAGAGTCGTGGCATCGTACTTTTGTATGTGGCACCTGAACTTTTGCAAGTGGTCCAGGAGAGCTGTGAAATACTTAGGAGTCAAGACACTGCTGACAAGACCAGCCAGCTGGGCTCTGCACAAAATACTTAGTCTGAGAAGTATTTCTGTTCAGATCAAAAAAGAATGATGCGCGACCAGATGAAAACCTTCAGCTCGCAAGAATCATTTGATAAAGCAATCTGGGTTTCAGCCTGAGACAAGTCCCAGCCTCTATCAAGTGGCAGAGCCGGGAAACAAATGTGGAAGTCTTCATCCATTTAGTTCTTAGACCGCACTGACAACGCGGCTGAGAAAGCTCCTTTTATACTGTCGATGAGGAAGACCAGAAGGAAAAAAAACCTTTGCTTGCTAGCAGCCAGTGTGGAATTTTAAATAAAGACGCCTCATTTAAACACCACCAAGGCATGCAGATTCATGGGCAAGGAATAATGAGAACTCTACAGCTAGCTGAGACACCAGCACCTCCCAGTATCTGGGCTCTGTCGCTCTCATTACTAGCACGCTCCCACTGCCAGCCCCACGGTGACTAATGTGCTATTCTGTGCTTGCTTTAGCACCACTGCCATAAGCTGAAGGGTAACGCAGGGAGGAGCCCCACAGGACTGGCAGAGACAGAGTGCTGTCTGCTGAAACATGGGCTGCTCTTCAGCACTCCCACAGGCAGCATTTCCTGACTACCTGAAATACCATGATAGAATCCATCTCTTCCCACAGACAGACAATCAGTCTGTCTAGAGCAAAAAAGCTTTGAGGATTGCATCTCGGACTGAAAAGGCTGAAAATGAGGATTCTGCATAGCATAAAGGATTACTGGCATTGCTTCAATGACTCGTTTGGGAAAATCCAAAGCCATTCCGACAGCACCACAACAAAGGGATCACGATAGTTACCGCATAAAACTAAATAAATCATGTTACTTTATACAGGAGGAAAGCCAGTAAATTCTTGCCCTGGCTTTAACCAGGTTGTTCCTGAGCAGAACAGGTACTTTCCTTTGTAACCAGATAATTCATTAATTTAGAGGCACTGGCACACCAACAATGTCTGTAGGTCAGAGGAGAGTGCTGGCAGAGCTACATGCAGACTCAAAAGCAAAGCCAAATGGACAAGGCAGGGATCATGGCTGCATTAGCTTTGCATTGACGAGGTAACACTCTGGTTACCGGTTTGCGCTGCGTTACCTAACTTACAGCCAGTTTCAGCCAACATTAACAGCCTCACCGTTCCCATCTCTCATCCCGAGTTTCCATTCCTCTTTCTCACACAACTGAACTGCACACTAGACTGCAACAAATATTTGTTGTGTTCTCCCCCCATTTAGAGTCACACCAGTCAAAACCAACAGCACTCACATCCATAAAAGAACACTGTGGTAAGCAAAAAACCCCAAAACAATCCAAACAGGAAAAAAAACCACAAAAAACACCCCCCCAAAACCCCCAGGTTAGGTTGTACCACATCTTCCTCCACTCCCATAGTCAAAAGAAACTTCCCCATTACAGTGGGGGAAAGAGGAATTACATACCTGGTGTAGGAGTATTTGTTGTTGCTTCTGTTATAAAGCAGCTTAACAACGGGCTGTTGGGAGAGAAGGAAAAAAAGCAGAAAAGGTTAAGTTCTGTGTTTGAATACATTCAGCAAAAATTCAGTTTTCTCACTGGATAGTTGTGGAAAAGCAGTTACTTTCATTGAAGATTCTATCAGTCTCTCCTCTTCTTTTGGAGATGTGATAATAGGGATGCTACACACAGGTTCGTACAAGTCTTTCTTGTCCTGTTTTAAAGAAAGAAAGGAGAGGGGAAATACACCAAAGTGAAATAAATGCTAAAGCTAACATCTGCTGCTGTCTTCTCCAGCCCCTCCGGCCATGTTCCCAAATCCTGTGATGCAAAGGAAAAGCTCTGTGTTGCTATAGCAACCACACAGCTCACCTTGATCTGCAACCCAGAAATACAGCCGAGATTTCTTATCCCCAGAAGGCAGCAGTAATTGAAACACCGGGACGCAGGTGGACGTCCTTCCTAGCTACAGCAAGGACTCTGAGCTCAAGGCACACTTGGTTTAAGTGGGTTTATTATTCTACCCTTTTTTGAAGAAAAGGATGGCAAGAGTTTGCACTAGTTTTCATCAACTCAAAACACTGCAGCACATAAGGTTATCAGCCACTATGAGCTGATCGTTGGGCAGGAACAGCACGTCCCCAAAACGGACTTCAGCCCCTTATGATACACAAGCAACAATCAAGAGCTTGTAGCACAGTCTGTGGCTCCAGATTCCTCGTGTAGCACATTAAGGAAAGCTCAACAGCTATTAGGGGAGCATCAGAACATTCTGGTTTTAGAAGAAAGGTTTTAAATTCCAAACCAGAAGGACAATTGTCAGTGTGGCTTTGCACTTCTTCCAGCGGATTCAAGAAGTATGTTGAACCTAGTACGTGAGGCATTTATTAATTACTAACTTTTGTCCTGCCAGAAACACTCATTTCACAATCTTAAGGCTCATAATAAGTTATATATATTGCATCTGGGCTCATCTCATCAAAAAGTCGGCAGAACAAGCTGATTTGAGTCAGCTGAATGCAGAGGGACTCCAAGTGAATAAAGCTACTACGGGCTTACGGATTTGCAAAACTGATGGAACGGAAAGCCCTTAGAGCACCCAGTGCTTACCATGTACGTCTTTTTCTCCATTAAGATTCAAACTTAGAAAAAAGTTACCATGTTTGCAAAGATTCAAACCCATTCTGCCTATAAATATTATCTAATTAGAAGTGACGTAACTTGGGGGAAATTTAGACAAATGCCATAAGGTCTTTTAAATCATATGCTCAAAATAATCATGTTTATTCAATCAGTTTCCTTTAAATTTCTGGCTTTTATTTAATTTCACACGAGAGGAACTCATTCGCTGTCTATTTCCTAAATAAAATTTAAAAAAAAGAAATAGAAAAGAACCAGTCCCTCTGTTTAAATGACAAATTGAGAATCCAGTTTCTCCTTTATTCATCCCTGCGAAGTAGAAAAGTGCCACTGTCCCCATCCTGAGGGGGCAGCTGGGCAACTGAACAGAAGCAGAGGGAAATGATTTACCTGTCATCATAACAGACATCTCTGAAATGACAGCAACTGGAACCTACACCTTGCACGTTCTAGATTCATATAATCTAACCAGGGGACGATCCTTCTCCTCTTATAAAGAAATAGCTCCCTCGGTAATGCAGTCGCCCCACTAATTGTGCTAAATGCCTTCAGCGTACAGGCCCCTGTGCCCTGGAAGGCCATGCCCTGATAGCACACGGGTCTGAAAACATTTCCAGGGAGATCATAACCTCATTTTTCACCTCTTATTCAAAGCATCAGAGAATCTCAGGTGCGCGTACAGAGAAAGGATAACTCTGGCTTTGATAAACACATTGGATAAGATCTTAGAACTTTCTCAGCTGCTGCCTCATTTTCTTTCCAGGCTGTCTTGCACGTCTAAAACTTGATCCCATCTCTAAGGCCATGAAATACTCTCTCAAGTTGTCTTAAGTAAATTTGATAAGCAAAACACCCACAAAAACCTTCACAGGCTACTTCTATTTCTTACCTGCAGGGCTGTTTGGCACATGTCCACTAAGCCCTGAATGAGATAATATTTGGCTTCTGCCATCAACTCTTTGATCTCCTGTCTGTGTTTAGGAAGTGCAATCGTGTCATCTCGGAGATAGTTTAAAATTGTTCCAAAGTGCTTCCCACAACGGTCTATAAGGATCCAGCCTGAAAAAAATAACCATCACATCATTTCAATCGCCTCAACATTAGGGGGCAAGAAAAAGCTCCTCAGCGTCCTCAGCGAGGTTAACTAAGCCCAACGTTTCCTGAAGCTGCACAAGGTACTCCTCCTGGTTCACTCCGTGGAAGCCTCCACTGCCTTGGAGCAAACTGAAGCTGGTCACAGTACAGAAACTGGCAGTGCAACCGCTCCTTTGGCACCTCCTGTGTGCCCTCACCGCTTTCCACCCCCCACCCAAAAGAAAAGCCTCAAGCTAACAACACTTGCCTTCCTATCACAGGACACTGAAGTCGCTGCAGGAACCCGACTGCACTGAATCACTCGATCATGTGCTGACTGACCAAAATTCTTATCTGGGCTTCGCCTTTTCTCCATTAGGTTCCGATTAAAGGAACGGACCCTTTTACCCACTGCAGGAAGTCTAAATTACATCTGTTTGACTGTCCAAGCCACCCAAATCTTGAAAAAAAGGCCAAAAAAAACAAACAACCAAAAACCGCAGCTTATTGTTAGGTAGGTTGCTTCTTTTATTGAGAGGCTTGTCATATTGCCAGCAAAATGGGAGTGTACTGTATTTGCACAGGAACACATGCAGTAACTGCTGCTACAGGGTAATGCTGGGCAGTTGGAAACAGCGCTAAGAAAGCCGGGAAACCTAGAGGAGAGAATTCACAGCTGTCTGCAACAAGAAGACCTGGGATAAGTTCTGCGGCCTAACGAGAAGGATCTGTCAGTTTTCCAGCCACACCTTCTGCTCTTGTGTGGAGTTAGAGAGAAGGGTTCCCCAGGCGCTAAAAGGCAAACTAGCCCAGAATACCCAGCATGGGCAAAAAGCTGTTCCAGTCTCCAAACAGGAGAAAAGAACAGGAGAGAGACAGATCAGGAGAGGGGATGCGGCACAGGAAACAGCAGCAGACAGGCAGTCCTTGCGATGTTAAAACATCCCTAAAGTCACATTCACCAGGAAACAGGATGTCTGACCTGCTGGCAAACAATAGCAATGTAGGATGCACACAGGCAGAGGGCTTAATATGGTGTCCAACCCTTTTCCATAACATGGGAGGCAGGCAAAAAAGTGTTATTTTGGGACCTAGGTACAGACAACAACACAGGAAAGCCGGCTGAACCACTGCTGGATTCGCCAGCTGCAGCTGTCAGGGCATGAACCTTGTTTTCTGTCCAGGCTGAGGCTCTTACACAGAACTGCTGCAGTAAACGGATTTAGTGGTACGTAACACTCAACAAGACCCAGCCTACTCAAGGGGGAACTTGGTTTAAACGACACGCAAACCCCCCAAGGAGCTGTTTCAGCCTAAGCAAGCACACGGTTGTGCGTCACGTTTAAACTGATGTCACCTGGGCACACGGAAGAGCTTTTGCATACGAGTGTTCAGAGACACCAGCTCTGCCAGCCTCTCTCAGCCTCTTCACAGCACCACAACCCTTGTTCCTAAAGCACCAATTCGCCCTGGACTACCAAAGAGAGGAAAACGAAAGCACTTGTAGCCACTGCTGATATTGGTCTTCCTACTTGTTCTACTCTCCATAACCGATTACGGATTTTTATAACGCCAATATGGGTGTCCAGCAAGAGGTGACTACTTGACTGATGGCTAAATACTGTCACAGCGTCACGAGCCACAAGTCGAACATGCTACTGGGAGGAGGAAAAAAAGGAATTTTCAATGTAGCAAGCAAGGCTGCTCTGAGTTTTGTCAGCAAGACGAAAACTGAACGTCCCTCCCCACATACGCATGTCGCATGATGCCACTACATGACACCACGCAAACAACAACCCACATACTGTCTGTTCCGTCTTCGTACCAACACCAACAATCTGCAGACCAGCTGAGACCGTAGGAAAGAGAACCAGTCCTTCCGCCAGCTAATTTTAGTAACAAAAGGACACGTTTTCGTAAGGCACAGAGGATTGTTAGCGCCAATGGGAGTCGGCTGCCTAATGTTCCAAGTTATTTTTGGAATATATCTTTCCCTACATCCTTAACTGAGCGTGGTCTTTTAAAATATTAAAAAACCCACCACCAAACCCCAGTTGTTTTACAAAATTCTCAACAATAAGACATTCCCTTACCTTCCTTGTCTGTGAGCACCTCCATCCTGCCGCTGAACATGGCCTTCAGCATGGTGTCGTGCCGGGTCAGCACTTGCACTGTAGTGTAATACAGAGAGCCCCCAACGTTCAGTCGCACGTACTTGTTACCAAGGCTGCCCCCTTTGAAGCTGCAAGTTTTGGGCTTGGGCCCTGCAGCTGGACAAAGGGTGGAGGTTAGGCACGTGTCCCCCGACATCTCCTTCTGTAGGTAGATGACAACCCTGCAGAGCGTGGGCCTGACGGATTCCGCCGTGGTTGGTGAAGAGTCACGAGTCCCCAGACGAGGATGGCAAGGCAAAAGCTGTCATAACCACGGGGCCCTGGAAACAGAAACGCGCAAGATCAGTACAGAAGCCTGGAATTTCCATTTACAACAAAATCATGAAGCCCACAATGCAGAAGAGATACTTTCAGTAGACTCCTAAGGACACATTTACGCACATTCTGACAAAACAAGATTCCGGTGCTTCCGAGACAATTTACGCGGCAGTACAGCGGTTGCTCAGCACCACGCAGCTATATCACTGTCAGGAAGACACGCAAAACTCTTCCTGTTATTTCGTCTTCAGCCAGCACTGCACACACCACACAATACCGTGCCCGAGTGCAAACGTTAGCTGGAATTCCGCTCCCTCTCCACTTCCCAAAAGAACGCCAGGCTTTCTTTGTGAGAGCTGAAGGACAATGGAAGAGCTCTCTGCCCTTCCTTCAGCCGGGGCGTGTGTCTGCACACGTGGTGGCCGTTTGTTTTTTAACCAGAGACATTCACAAATGTCTCTTCAAATGCCTTGACCCTGAAATGCTGGACCACGACGTTCTAGCTCCTGGCAACTC